CGCCCCTGAAAGGAAACCCGCTGGCGGCGCGCTGGTGCCGGCCGCGCTCTGCCCTGCCCTGGGTGGCCGAGCCCACCCCCCATTTTCTCCCTCGCTTCCACCCCAGCAGGGCGCTGGGCCGTCGGGCCCTGTGAGGGGGGCTGGGGTGGGTGATAAAATGCTTAAAGGACGCCTCCGTAGGTCCGCAGGTCATAAACCAGAACCAAGTAGAGTTTTGCTCAGTAGCCAATAAAGGCTTTCTCCTTGAGCTGCTCTCTTCCCTTTTGAAAGCAGGAAAAGGAGAAAGTTCATTCTCGGCGAGGGCACCTCTAGACTGAATGGGGACCGGGCTCCAAAGCCAGAACCCCTAGTGTTTCATCTTCTGCAGGAGGACCAGCAGGGACGGGTCTGGTTATTGCCGGAGCGGAGCAGCCTTCGGGGGTCCTGGCCTCGATGCTGGAGTAGGAGAGGGAGCAGCAGGAAGTGCCTGTGCAGGGGGGACCCCGGGGAGGAGGCCCCCAGGCTGCCCTGGCTGGGGAGGGGTCAGGCTTGAGTGAGCTGGGAGGGATAAGGAGCCATTGGCTTTTGAAGTCACTCAATGCTTCAGTTAGAGCTGCTGCAGCAGCTTATTTTCAAAATGGAAAACCTGTAGCAAAAAGTAGTTATTAGCGCGGAGAGGAAGGAACAGATAACCAGAAAATGCCCGGAGCGCCCAGAAATGGGCTTTTGGACAAGCTTTTATCGCCCAGCCAGTTTCCCAGTGTGCTTGGCACCCCTCCCCCCCCAACCTTCTGGAAAGTGTTACTTCCTGACCTGAGCTTACCTGGTGGTGTTTCTAAGGTGGTTGTGAATCTTGCAGGTGTTTTTGAGTTGCTGGCAGCAATAACAGCTCTAGCTTGCTTGCTTTTGTTTGTGATCCCACCTACAAGTGTCTACTTTCAAACACCCCCCTTCTCCCTGCTCACAGGAGTACTCCCCCGGGTACAAGAGACGAAGGACCGTGGAGGATTTCAACAAGTTCTGCACCTTCGTCCTGGCCTATGCCGGCTACATCCCTTATCCGAAGGAGGTAATCTTCAGCACTCGTGGGACCTTTCTGGCAGTGAAGCCAGGGCTGTGTGGGAGGACTGCAGATAGGAGTTGGGCAAAAATCTTTCTTGGAAACTCAGACCAGCCTGGGAAATGGTTCCTCAAATGCTGGTAGAACATAAAATGCAGGCTTATCTAGAAATGATTTAGTAAACTTTCAGGGTTTGCTTGCAAATAGCTATTTGCTATCAGCCTGCTCTTTTTTTTAAATTTAATATTTCAATTGCAGTTTGCATTCAGTATGGTATCGTATTAGTTCCAGGTGTACAGCATAGTGAATGGACAGTCAGTCATATTCTTTTTTTTAAAAAATACATTTTATTAATTTTTTACAGAGAGGAAGGGAGGAGGATAGAGAGTTAGAAACATTGATGAGAGAGAAACATCAATTTAGCTGCCTCCTGCACACTCCCCACCGGGGTTGTTCCCGCAACCGAGGTACATGCCCCTGACCGGAATCGAACCTGGGACCCTTGAGTCCGCAGGCTGACACTCTATCCACTGAACCAAACCGGTTAGGGCACATATTCTTGACAAAGTGTCCCCCTGCTGTTTCCAGTACTCACCTGATACCATACGCGGTCATTACAATATTGACCATATTCCCTATTCTTTACTATCTGCCTGCTCTTAATGGCCAGTATTTATTGAGTGCTGACTATGGCCAGGCACTGGTTTTGGCTCTTACAGCATGAGGTAGGTGAAATTATTTGTCCCCATTTTAAAGCTAGGACATGGGCACGGGTGGGGAATGCCTTGCCCTGGGTCACAGGCCAATGAACGGTGGAGTGTGGCGAGCAGCTTCCTGGTTGCTGTGCGCATCCCATACAGAATCTGCGAGGACTTCGGCCTAAATCCCGCGGGATTTCAGGGATCCCCCCCACCCCCCCGCTGATAAATGGGCAGAACTGTGGACCAGCACTGCCATGGTCCTCAAACTTCAGAGCCTCGTTCATACTGACCGAGGCTAAAAAGAAGGGACCCCGGTGCTCCCAGGTCCCAGCAGTGGTTTATCCTTTGCATCGCCATCTCGGGATCATGCCAGCTTTGTGCCACTCAGAAGGTGGCCATTATTTGCAAATAAAATGCTGGATGGTCTGAAGGAACCAGTGTAGCTCACTCGCTGCTTTGGGGCAATAATTACCCACTTTAATTTTTACAATACTTTGGGATATCTCCAGTTTTAAAAAAATGTACTGGGAAATTCTCAAAACTAATTTAAACTCACTTAATTAAAAACTGCATCCTGTGGGAGGATAGAGGGAGGGAGAGGTTCCAGTCAGGGAAGGATCCTGGGCCGGAGAGCGGGTCTTCCCTCCTGTCCGTCCACTGAGCCCCAGCCAGGTTCCTGAGGGTTCCGCCAGGAAAGGAGGTCCCCTCTCCTGGGGCACATGGTCTGCAAGGTCACACTGAAATACAAAGAGCAGTGCTGAGGAGAGCTGGGAGCCTGAGGCTGTGAGAGCTGCGGCCTGGCCCTGCCGCGTGCCTGGGAGATCTCTGTGGGGCCGGCTAGTCGGGGGACTGTGGAAGTAACCGGAACCTTTGCCTCCTTTCAGGAACTCCCTTTGAGGAGCAGCCCCAGCCCTGCGAACAGCACCGCGGGCACCGTTGACAGCGACGGCTGGGACGCTGGCTTCAATGACATCTCGTCCGCGGTGCCCCTGCCAGTCTCCGACCGCTGCTTTAGCCACCTGCAGCCCAGCCTCTTGCAGCGCGCCAAGCCCAGTAACTTCCTGCTGGACAGAAAGAAGACCGACAAGCTGAAGAAGAAGAAGAAGAGGAAGCGCAGAGACAGCGAGGTGCCCGGGAAGGAGGGGTACGTGGGCAGCTTGCTGAAGCTGGAAGCCGCCGATCCGTACGTGGAGACCCCCACGAGTCCCACCCTGCAGGGCATGCCCCCGGCCCCTGGCGATCCCTGCTCGGGCTGGGACTCCGACACTCCGTCCAGCGGCTCCTGTGCCACCGTGTCACCTGATCAGGTCAAAGAAATAAAGACTGAAGGCAAGCGGACTATCGTCCGGCAGGGGAAGCAGGTGGTGTTCCGCGACGAGGACAGCACTGGCAATGACGAGGACATCATGGTGGATTCAGGTGAGTGGTCCCGGGACGACGGCCACGCTCCTGGCTGTGGTCGGAAGAGAGTGATTGTCAGCCGGTGTCTCGGGGAGGTCCCTGCCTCAGGGCGCCCACCGTCTCCAGGGAGGTGGGTGCAGGAAGGTGGGCGCAGGTGCTTAGGGAGGGGGTGATCGCCGCTAGAGACAGCTGAGAGCCCGACCTGGAAATATACAGATAGTGCGGCTCCTGAGTGCACACGTCACCGTGACCTCTGGGACCACACTCTGGGTGCCCTTTCTGTGCACTCACCATGCGCTCAGGGAGGGAGGTGGCACCGTGAGTGGAAGTTGGGTTCTGGTTCTGTTGCTTGTCCCAGTGGAGGGCAGCTCTCCTGGTGGGGAGGGGTCAGGAGATTCCTTTTCCTTCCTCTTACGTGTTCCTCTCTTCAGACGATGACTCGTGGGACCTCGTCACCTGCTTCTGCATGAAGCCATTTGCCGGCCGCCCGATGATAGAGTGTAACGAGTGCCATACTTGGATTCACCTGTCCTGTGCCAAAATCCGGAAATCCAACGTGCCGGAAGTGTTTGTCTGCCAAAAGTGCCGGGACTCCAAGTTCGACATCCGCCGCTCCAGCCGCTCCCGGATGGGCTCCCGGAAGCTGTTTCTGGACTGACTGCTGGCGAGTGAGGAGACGGGGCGAGGAACCGGAAGGGACGGGACGGTGGGCTTTCTGGCCCCTTTCTTAGTTGAGCACAGAACTCTCAGCTCTGATGCAGGCAGACCCCTGCCATTCAGGTGCCTAAGCAAAAGGACAGGCTGTCCACGGTGTGAACTGTACATAGCCGGTGACTGAATAAAGTCCTGAGGCCAAAGCTGCTGCTAGAGCTGTGATCTCTGCAGCGGAGGCGGACTCAGCATCCGGGGCAGGGGGGTGGTCAGCTGACGATGAGGGGCCGGGTAGTTGTGAATCCTTGCTCTCGTTGACCAGCTCCCTCCGATTGGAACAAGTGCTGTTACTCCTGCTTCCGCGTTGGGGACCATTGTTCCCTGGCCTGTTAACGAACAGCCATACGTGCAAGCGTTTTCTTGAGTGTGTCTTTTACCATAAGTGTCTGTACAGCAACCATCAGAGCTGCCCCTCCCTTAGTGGTCCGCCCTCCCTTGCCCGTTGGACTCCTTGCCTCACTCTGAGAGGAGCCAGGGGCGGGGGGCGAGCTAATGGTCCCTAGTTTTTCTTCTGTTCGTTGAAAGGGGTTGTGTGTGGCCACTTCTCTGTAGAAAGAGGGTTGGTTGGGAGATTGAAGTGGCCCGTGTTCATAACCCAGTTTCCCGTTTTGCACGATGTAAAAACTGTCTTTTTGCACGATATAGCCAAAAGTGTTGGCAGGTTTTTGCCTGGGTGCCCTCTCTCTGCAGTTGGTGTATGGGGGGCCTATGGGTGCCCAGGCAAGGTGTTTCCGAGGGAGGGCACTTAAGTTCCTTCTTCTCTCTCCCCCCCCACATTATTTCAGTAGCAGCGTAAAGGTTAGGCAGTCACTGGGGAGTGGGTAATGGGTAAAGGAGAACTGGGAGGAGGGCCTCTCCCACGGGTGATTCTTAGTGTCCCCTCAGACAGGTTGGCCTGCTGGTCCACAGGCCGAGGTTAGGACTTGAAGCCTTGTTGGTTTGAATTGGTGAGTGAGTGATAGGGTAACATTGGCCTCTGGGTCTATACCGGTGAGCTGTGCAGAGGTCCTCGGATCTGGACTTGGGGACGCCCCTGTGGGCTCTGCTCCAGGCCGCTGTGCCCTGGGACACTGGTGGTCCTAGGGCCCCACGGGAGAAGGGCTTCAGCGCTGTCCCAAATTGACATTGCTCTCAGCAGTTCAAATACTGGTTCTCGAAAATTGGTGTTTTTGTGTGTTTTTTGTAAATGGATGGGTGTGTTTTCATAAACATTGTTTCTTGTAAAAGCGTGAAAAGGGAAGAATGCCCAGGTTGGTCACGTTTGTTTACAGCAGGATGGACCCGTCTCCCAGCAGGGGCTTCCCCCCCGGTGGCATCCCTGTGCAGGGCCCCCCGCGGGGCCCTCCACGTTCTCACCGAAGCACCACGCGCTGAACTGTAGGCTAATCAGAGCCCGTATTTTGTCCTGGTACCGTTCATGCTTGAGAAGCCAACTGCCTTTTGTTTTTTTTTTGTTTTTAATTCTGTTGCTTTTATTAACACAAAAGTAGGCATCGTTTCGGAAACCCAGTTTATTGTCAAGATCCCCAAAGGAGAAGCTGTGCGGTGGAGAGAAATAGTAGCTGGCTCAGAAACAACCTCCTCCCCGGACAGCTGGCTCTGACCCTGGTGAGGGCAATGTGCGGGAGAAGTGGGGAGAGGAATTTGCCAAAGATCTGCCCCAGGACATTGCCTGCCCAGTGTCTTCACCATGAGAGTAGCCAAAGTTCCAAAGTGTTTCTTGTTTCTTTAAAAATAACGCCACGCAGTTTTAAAGGTGCACTTAAGAGTACCTGTGATTTTACAGTGGAACAGCCAACGCTGGTGACTGCTATCTGCTCTTCGAAGGTTCGGCGCGGGGTGGCTCCTGGAAGGCTTCGGCATTCATCTCAATTTCTGTTTCTTATTTCCTTTTGGTTCTTTTAACAGGTGCATCCCTGTGGGTGGTGTCTAAGAAGTCAAGGCACCTCGTGTTTTTTTTTTGTATGTTGTGTTGATTGAGCTGGCAGCTGCAATCAGCTTTATGCAAATTAGGCATGGCCCAGCTAGGGCTCTTGGTTGGTGGCTGATGAGGTGAGGAGGGAAAGATGTCACCCCAAAAGCAGGTCCCTCCCATTGGCTTTGGCCAGGCCAGACACTTAACATCGTTTACATGGTTCTGTGTAATTGTAAAGTTTGTGTAAAAAGCGAAGCTGTTTCTGTGAAACTGTATATTTTGTAAATAAAGATATTGCTACTTTGAGGTTGATGTCTAGTTTCAGGTGTTTTTGTTCTGTGCTGAAGGACAATTGTGTTTCATCATCACTTCCGCAAACCACGATTACAAGACTTGGGAAGTTAGCGTTTGCTTCAGCGGGATGGAAAATGCCCGTAGCCGGCAACGTCCTTTGCTAGTAAATTCTCCAGAAATCACAGTGTAAATAGACACGAGCAGCTCACAATTTCTTCATCAAATTGAGTTTAAACCCCAGTGAGTGGTTAACCGGCTTTGTGAAAGCTGCAGCCTCGGGTTCCCTAAGCAGGACTGGGATCTGGGGGTGCACATTCGGGCCCTTTACACCTGGCGCCCGCAGTGCCTGAGCCTGTTCTGCCAGCTCTCTCTGCTACTCTAATTTGGGACCAACTAGTACCTGCAGTGACATTCGAGCAGCCCAAACCTAGTAAGCATCTCCTAAAGTCTTCACAATGCTGGCCAGGCTGGGCATCGAGCCTTTGTTTCCAGTTGTCTACGGCTGCTGGTGGGTGTAAAATTTAAGGGGCCCCAAACGGGGTGAGGGCGACGGGCCTCAGCGAGTCGGGGTTTCACCGGAGGGGAAGCCCGCCCGACTCCGACAACGCAAATCGCGGGCACCGCGCAAGA